TTCAACTGAAACTGTTAAGCATACACTGACTAAGACTTTTAGAAGATATTTACGTTGCAAGGTAAACATCCATCTTTTGAGGTGTGTCACATGACGGACGTTTACGGTACTGCGGAAGATTGATGGGTAATTCCAGAAATCAGGGGTCCATTTTTTTCGTGTCCCTGTCACATTTGACATATAATTTTGTAAGTTTAGGACTCATTTTCAAATCCCAAGAGTGATGAATTAATGCAAATTACCTGCAAAACAAATAGTAATAGTCTGAAATCAATTCGGGTGATATTTCCACGTCAAATAACAAAAGTCAGATGTAACAGGGACACTTAAATGTCACACTTTTGGACCCCTAATTTCTGGAATCACCCACATCTCAGAATGCACAAGCCAAATGATCGCATTTGTGGATAAACTGTTTGCAGCCAATTTGGAGCTTCCTCTCCGTTTTCAAAAGTGACACAAAAGTGTTCTCAGTGGCATTCGGACAGCTGGAAATGTGCACCTCTGATCAGAATCTAAATCAGATTTTATCTGACTTTGCATCAGATGGGGGGGGGAGTACATATTTCCCACTGGGAATCGGCTTCATCCCCCAACACCTTTTTGTGGTGAGCACAATATTGCAGCAAAAAGTACCGAAGGATAGTTTCAAGTGGGTTCTTCTCCATAAAATCATAACTTTATAAAGAGATTTATCAGTTGATTTGTCTTTATTCAATTTAATGATTGTTAAGTTTTTCCTCTACTCAAAAGGAACTTTGCTCTCCCTAATGGGGTTACACTTCCTCCATTCAAGGTTTTGCGCTTTAGGACAGGATACTGTAGAGTACATGTACTTCAGTCAAGGTGTCACCGTCGAGGTACCGGCTGGGGCGCGGTGCGTGCCCAGGCTTACGCCAGGTAAGCTCGACTGTTCTAGGCAAACCGTGTACTATGAGATTATCCCGACTTTTTGTCAGAACTCAAATTTTTTGCTGGTTTTCCGGCCAAGTCCATAACTCTAATACTCTAATATTTAAAACCGCAATAAAAATTTAAAATATATATTTTGTAAGAGGAGCAGGGTGGCGCGGCCCTGAACAATGATAGAGACATTGAATTAAAATTGACCAGTAAAGCTACTTGAATTTGCTATTCAATGCGACATAGCTTCGTTGATTGAAGAATCACGAATGGCATGAGCCAACCCTGAACTACACTTGATTTTTATTCAACAAAAAATAAAATATCAGAGCGAAATAACATGATATAATTATACCTTACCAATAAATAAAACATACATAATCATTCACATAACCATGCATGATTAGAGAATACACATCCATTGGCTTGATTCTTATTGGTTTTACTACACCTGTTCATAGTCTTGGACGAGGCGCTGCCTCGAAGGACGTTCTTCATCAGACTGAAAGAGCATAAACTCATTGCCTATCATATTTTTGGTGACATCAATGGCGGCCTGACCAACAAGAGCTAAACGCTTTGTTCCTCCACGTCCACCCACGGCTGTCTCTGAACCTGGATAGATATAACAAGATGTGACAAATAATCCACAACTTGTCAGCTATGTACAAACAACGAGTCTACCACCATTAATATTCCTTTCACAATTTCCTCATCAAATCCAATCACAAGTCTTTCACAAGTTTGAAGTAACCAGGTAAATAATGAAGAAGAAATATGTTTTTGCCAAATTCACACCTTTTAAATCTGCTGCTAAGACGTGATTTTTTTTTTGTTTTTTATAGAGCTAGACCTGAGATGGATTTAGCTACAACTTTACACCCTTCGGTTAATCCCGTGGGTGTTATCAATAGAGAAGCGGAGTTGTTGGGCATTGCTTGCCGAAACCCTTTTGTTTCTCTTTCATTTCCGTTCGTTTTTTGCTTGCGTTGTATTTAGAACTTCGTGGGAACTATATACAGGAGCAATGATGACTTGAACCATGGGTCTAGGCCGCCCGGAAGTAGTGTAGAGTGTGAACACGTGACAGGAAGCGCTACGTGCGCGTAGAAGAAAGGTACGTTCCTTTGCGTGCGGAAGAGACCCTGATGTAGACTGGTTCCTGTCCTGTACGTGTATAGTCTCCAGACATCCTCTGAACGTAGGGACCGGAGTGCGTGATGAATCTGGCAGAATCCTGCCAGGTGTATGTAACATCTACTTCGTTATGGAGAATAACTGGCCCGACAAATACTAAAATATTCAGCATCCAAATTGGCAGGGCTAACCGCTCACGTTAAACAGCAGCTAGCTACTGGTCCCTATATAATAGGGACAGTCAGTTTCTTGTATATACTTACCAGCAAAAAAAATCGCTTAGGCTGCACAAAACGGCCAGGGAAGTTTCTCAGTAAATCTGTCTGTTTCTATCATCCCTGACCTGAATTCCATTTTTGGATGCCTCAGACCTTAGGAATACCGCATTCGTCTCATCCCATTTGGATACAATCATAGGAATTTTGGGGAGGTTGAATATCCATAGAAACATAGAAACAACAAACGTTGCCCTCAGCGGCGTATCCAGCTTTTGGTGTCGGGGGGCAAATTCAAAAGCGAATGCAGCTTCATGCTTATTTGACATGATCCGATGACATCCCCCCCGAAAAAAAATCCGTGGGGGGGTGGAAAGTTTCCTTGGCCCCCGTCACTTTTTGCCCTACCACATCCGATTCTCACTCACACACCCACGCACACGACGCCATCGCACCCTACATTTTGTGGACTGTTTACTCGACAGTTTGCATGGTTTTCATATCTTCATTCCTAAAATGTTTTTCTCACACTTAAAACAACCTGAAAATCATGAGACTTGAAAAGGGCGCTGCGTGGCCGGAATTTTGTAACTTGACTCGATGAAACTTCACAGTTCTCAAGACATTCCCTTCTCTTACAAGTAGTGCCCTGTCCTGAATCTAACCATAAAGGTGTCTCATGTAAGCAAAGATTTCAGAAGAGTTGCACTTACCATAACCCACCTCAAATTGGTCTGGGAAGCAACATGGCCCCTCTGCAGGCTGGGCATAGCTCGTTGCCAATCCCACGAGTAACAATAAGACGGCCGATTTGATGTCCATTTTTACCAACTCGATAATTGAGAACTGAGCGCTGACTTTCACCAAAAGTTGAACTGAAATCTCAACCTCAAGTGGTCCTGTTCATCATAACAGGGACCTGTTTTATATCTAAGCCGGATTGGCAAATTGCAGTCACGTGATGTATCTTTCTTGTGGCCATATCCTCAGAGAGATGACTTGTGTAGCCAATTACCTCTCAGTTACTCACGCCTGCGCAACAATTACAAAGCTCGAGCCAGCAAGATCGAACAATGGCACGTCGTCAGGAACTTCATAGTCCAGGTTTTCAACCTTTCTCAGCGACCTTTCAAGGCTTCGGGACTGTCACTTTACTGCATGCTTTACCGATGTACGTGTCGCTCGCATGCGACAACGTTGACTTCGCGTCAAAGGGCAAATAACTTTTACCCAATGAGAGCTCAGAGAAATTCTAGAGGTCGCCATATCCACCCTCAGCTTCCGTTTTAATATCCGTGATCACGCAATGTTTCCTCATCAAGTTTGTAACCTGAGCTTACTCCGACAAATCGACGGTCAAGAAAATGCCCCGGATACCAACATTCGGATAACATTCGGAAGTGTCCCCTGTACACGTATGTTTTTCCGGAGGAAAACTCAAGTTATCTTTCCAAAAAATGGTTTGGTTTGAAACATCTAATGGCAATGTATTTTTTCAATGTGCACCAGGACGAGGATGGAACTGGTATTTTCTTTAGTGGTGGGACTATTTATTTAGATATATTGGTGGACTGGTCCTTTTCCCTATTATAATTATAGGGACAGGCAGCTAGCTGCGGTTTATCGTACGCGATTAGCCCTGTCAATTGTGATGCTAAATATATTACATTTTTGCCAGGCCAATAGCAATGCTTTAACATGAATTACGTTTCTGCAGGTAGGCGAAAAATACGTGCGTCGCCCATTGCGTCGTGTTGTCTTACGTCCTTTCTTTGTTTTTTTTTTTTTTTACGTAAATGTCGCTCCTTCCGACGTCCGTCGTGCGTTGCGTGCCGGGTCATGCGTCGCGTATTAGGTCGCCTGAAACACGACACGACGCACGACGCGTCGTGTGCTGTCACCCTTTTGCTTCGTGGTGTTTATAGATGGCACCCTTATGTTTTCTTTTTTATTTATTTCCATTTCCCGTGCTTACATAGTATATGCTACAGGTAGCAGGCCGTGTTTCTGTTTCTGTCTTTTTCATGCATTCTTTCTAACTTGTGTTTTCATTAAAAGTGAGCTCTTGATGAAAAGGTGTTGTTTTGTTTGTTTAAATCAAATGTAATTAGAAAGAGCGTGACGATCAAATATATATCAGCCTTGTCTTCAGGAAATAAATAACATTAACGTCAGCCTCAACAATGCTTAAGCTTTTCCTACTCTAATTCTGATCTTTCTAATAATCATTTGTAAATCCATTCTAAGGCCCACCCCGAAGTCCTCGGTTACTGGTCAGGGGCTGGCTCCAAAAGCAGCGCGGCGACGCGGCCCTTTTTTACCCTCTTTTTCTTTTGGAAATGATGTACGTATGACGGGCGATGTCCATGCCAATGATATAAATTTGTATACAAAGCATTGACCCTTAATAATCTAATTAACAAGAGAAAGTCAAATAACAGGAGTTATTTAATTATCATGTCTGATTTCTTCGGCCTATTTTTTTAAATTCAATTTTGAATCACAACAAAAATGACGTTAAAGTAACCGCTAATTCAAACTTATCTTAACGATACATTCTATGACGAAATTGAATGATTTAATCGATCAAATGGATGACAAAAAACGAATTTGCTTTTTCAATTCAACGTCATTCCCGGAGTGAGACAAAAATGACTGTAATTGAGACGAATAAGGATTTTTTCCGTGATTTACAATGCTCTGGAAGTGAAATCTAGTGGTGTTATTTCGGAATTGGAATCAACATTTAGGGCGAGTGACCCCTTTTTGACGAAATTGAACTTTCGTTCAAGCAATTTTTAATGAAAGAAGTGCTAAATTAACCGGGAAAACTCTAAGAACTAATTTGAAGACATGAATATATGTCCTTGCTTTGTCTGATTACTGTTTTACATGCAGAGCTGCTGCGGCAAACCATGCACAGACCGTTAGTCTGACGTTTAGTTCGTTACATGTGAGGGGTGCTTGTAGTTAGGGCGGATGCTGGCCAACTCCAATAGCTCATGAAGGCTTGTATAATCCTAAAAGGCAAATTTGGGGTAGGCAAAGCTCCCCTAATTGATCAAAAACAGATATAACTTCAGTTGAGAGACCAAATGAAAGCAAGGGCAAACAATCCAAAGTTTAATCAAGGTGGATCTCGGGCTGTAAGTAATCTTAGACCGCAGGAAATAACTTTGATTCCGTCCATTAGGCCATTTATCCTGGCAGAACATACGTTGAGTTTATGGCACACCCAAGAGGAAGGATGCTTGCTCTGGTATTCGTGATTCCAGATGGTTAGATGTTCTTTAACATGTGTTTACGCACATAAAAACCATCTCAGTCACTGTCAACTGTTCCACAGACAAGACAAATTTATATTGATCACAAAGACTTGAATTGGAATTCATCTTGAGCGAAAAATACCTTGCATTCCAATATGAACATGGTTTTAGTTGGACTGCCTCTTGCTGGTACTAGAATCATTTTGTCATTCCCTTTTTGTATAATGAACCATTTCTTCATCACTGATTTGATGACTGTTCACCTACCATTGTTCACTCCATCCAGTATCACGACTGACTTTAAAATAAAACGGATCCAAAATTCAAGTTTTAATCAGCTTGAAGATGAATGACTAAAACATTGTTTCGGATTCAGAATCACTCTTTTTTCCATTGACTCATGCGAGACGGGGATTGCTTTGCTTTCCAATGAGTGTTATTTAATCACCTTTTGTGTAGCACCTACAGCGAAAAACATTTAAAAGCCAAGAAAGGAGGACAGTGGAACATGCAGGGACACTTCCCCCTCTGTCCCTCTGTTTTAATAATTTTTGTTAATTCCCGGGATCTGCCACTGAGCTATGTGATACCTAGCACCACTAGGAATTCAAACTCAATAACGATGTTTCAAAATGAAAGCACTGAGAGATCTAAATACAAAAAGCCACGCATTGTCTACATGCATAACCTTCACACATAGAGATGGTCCCTCATAAAATTTCGAAATTCCTTCCACTAGGTGTACAATCGCCCACAATAGAGTTTCAGTTCTGTCTAACGGGGCCTAGTAATCATTAAATAGATAGGCCTAAAGGGGTGAATTCCAACCAAATCTGAGTATTTTGTTCATGAGACTAGCTTGAGTACTTTTATATGGCTAGCAAACTTAACATTTAATCCCGAAATAGAGATTCTTTTTTTCAGTCGAACAAAGTTTACATCGAATCGTAAAATAGAGCTATCTCTATTTCTTATACAGATATATCTATTTCGGGATAAATGTTAATTTTGTACGCCATAATTTTACTTGTCTCGGAAATCGTCTGGTAGTATTTCGAAGAGTAAGTAAACACCCTCTGTACAGTGCCACAGCCCATCATTTCACTTGTCTCAAACAATTTTCAGGACTTTTTAAAAGTGCTTTAGGAAAAACATTCACTTTCTTCCCTCAATTGCGTATTGCTTGATATTATGCAAAAATGTGAATTTTTAGAATTCAAGTAGAATTATTCCCTGCTTTTACTATCACGTTCACGGCTAAAGTAAGAAATAATGAACCATGAGGGGAATAATTTCACTTAGTGCAAATAAATGTATCCCCTAAGGGGTAATTACTGGAACTGCTTCAAAATGCGGGCCTTTAAAGTCTGACGAGGGCATTACATCACTTACAACAATTTGTTTTGATCGGGAGGGATATGATTGTGATTCGTTGAAAAGGTCGTATCACGTGAAGAAAAATATATGTAAGCTTTGATATGGTATAGTGAACAAAATTCAGGAAGCTGTGCGATCTATATTCGCTTTAAGATTTTACACATCAAGTCTGTCAGCGGTCAGGTTCAGGAAGTCATCTGGACGGAACTGCCGATGTTCTTAAAATAGAACTTGACTGTACTTCAACAGCTCCAGCAGTTTGGGTTCTTTCTCGATGTACTAAGAATCCAAAAACAAGAGAAGATTTAGGCCCTACTTCAATGGCACCATAAAACTTACACGGGAAAGTAAGCGAACTAAACATCAAATCGGAAACCACCTGATTCATTAACATCCTCATTTTCAGACACCTTAGGTAGGCAACAAACAGTGTATATAGCCATACTGCTTCCCACTCAGTGCCGTATTCAGCGGGGGCGGTGGAAAACTCCCCCCCCCACAGAAACCTTTGCAGATTTTTTTTTACAAAGAGTGGGTGACTGGGAAAGAAAGTACTCGGTATATTTATTTATCATATATACACTGCACTAAGTCTCGAAGGAAAAAAACACCAGCAAATAAAAGCAAGGATGTCAGGACCGTAAGGCTTTTCAATCATTTTTCTCTCCACATCACCATGTTGAATAACCCCGAAGACACTTTCGCTTTTGGATTCCTCACCCCCAGCGCCAAAAGCTGAATACGCCACTAACTCCAGTTATGCCCTGAGGTTATATCGAATAGCTAAAATCCAGCGCAGACGATTTCGAAAAAGTTTTCGTCTTTTCTTCTGGGAACAGGAGAGAATGTCTCACAGTTCTCTGTCAGCCAAACAAGTTTTTCTTCGCCTTCTTAAAAACAAAGTTGTACGTTTCGCGTATAAGCCTCGCTAAGCTCAAACGTCTATAGTCTTACCGTAGGGCAGTATTCAGGCACTTCAAAGAACCTGTCTGGGTCGGCAATGCCTGCCTCGTAGTTGAAATAGCCGGCGAATGAAAGGATCGAGGCTACAACCGGGAAGTAATTAGAAGGGATTATTGCTGGAGTTGACAAAAAAAGCCGAAAATGATTGTTTTCCGACTTTCCAAATGGGAGAGGTCATCTATACTTTCAAATGTCACTTATGCCCAAGTTAATTTTGTTCATCCCCACAGCTTTTACAGGGCGCTTGAACGGCCAAATGCATAACGTTGTTTTCCACTAATTAGATACAGTTCAATATGGAGTACCACGGTCAACGATACTTTGGCATGAAACGGCGCATGGATTGGGACAGGCAACCCAAAATGCTTTGTGCTTCCAAAGCTGTGACGTATTTTCCTTCGCAGAGACTTGTATTTCATGCATTTATTTTGAATCCACTGGAGAATTTTTTTTTATAAATTACGTCTTTTCGAATTGCCCCGCAATTGCACGTTCCTAATGAATACATGCCGATTTACACAGACAAGTACCGATTCTTAACACCAAATTGCATGCTGGTTTGAAGGTTTCCTTAATTAAATAACGAGCCTATAAAGTTTTGGGAGCGACACCGCTCGATGATGTAGAATTCGTAAAGTACTGTACTCGAATAAAACTAAATTTTATCACTAAATGATCAACTTATTAATTTGGCAAGGGATCTTCTCGTGTATTCATTTTTAGGTCTTGTACAAAAGGACAACATTATAGCAGTTAAACAGCGTCCACTACACCGTGTTTGGTTGCGCATGCGTGCATATTGTTATGGAGACAATTAATTTTGTGACAAAAGCCACACATTTTAACAAATGGGGCTTTGAGGGCAATCAGCCAATCAAAGATCTTGTTCTGTGATATTTGGAAGTTGGTTCTTTATATTTTAGAGATAGAAAGTTATGGCAGGAACAAAGGAAAATGCTGTCAATGCTATCTCAGCATCTGAAGCAACAACTTTTACAATCTGGCTTTATTTCACTATCTGGCGGAAAAATTTGTGTCGAATTCAGAATCATTTTGCAGAATTCTTTCTCCGGTGGATTCAAACATTTTGGTAATCGATTCAGACAGTTTAATCTAGCTTGAAATATATCTGCTTCTTATAACCAAGAAAACCTATTTTATCATAAAAATTATTACAACCGGCAACACTCGGTTTCTTTAAGAACAAAAATGCCTTTTTTTTTAAAACCAAACTTTGCAGCACATTTTCTTGGGCAGGCATAAAATCAATACTACATGAAATGTAATTTGTATTTGGACTTATCATTAAAATAATCATTATTTTGGCCAACTTTCTTCAAAATTCACCCACCTCATTTTATAATCAAAGTACACGAAATAAGAAATTGTCCATTACTATCCGCCTTGAACCAAAGCACTCCCTCATCGGTTGAAAAGAGCCAAGTTCGTTTGGAAGGCCAATTTTACCGGGCAGGTAACCACGTAACCGTAACGCGTGCATTTCCTAGTCGCGTGGAGTGACAATGTGACCAATCAATTTCCTTCGTCCATATCCTCATAACCAATAGCTTTTTCTCATGCTAAATGCAGGCTTATTCGTTATATTAAGAAATCAGTGACAACTTATGGTTTCAGCACCAACCGAGAATCCAATCATTTCAGTCAGTATTTTCCCTTCTTTTCCCCAATATGCGTTTATCTTCTTCCCAA